GCAACAGTAGCAGAAAACGGGTATGTTATTGTTTCCTGTTCATGTCTCTGATGATGAATCCGCGACGGCTGTCGAAACGTCAGGCGAATAAATGTGTTGTCCCAGCGATCGAGTCATCTTCTCATGTGGTCAACCTCCATTTGCCCTGGTAATCGGGTGCCTAGATTTAATCATGACGGTCATTTGTATTAACTTCCTCCCTTTCTTTCCTGCATGCTAATTTAAAGTAGTGTCTTTCATCCGATTATTATTTGCAGTGAACTATGACTCTTATGCATTGACATTCTGTAAAAATGTAAGCTGCTGTATGCTTCCATTCGTTATCTAAATCATGCAAAGCTGGGCTGCAGTTGGAAAGCCGTTGCGAAATTCACTGGATCAGATAAATCCTGCTGCCTATGCCTCTTTTGTAAATGCACACTCGGGAGCAAAATGTTTCAATTCTGACTAATTGCATCCTTCTACATACCAGGCGGAGGAGAAGGTGGTGGTGGCTGCCAAACAGGTGAACTTAGTGATTGTTGGCGTCTCTGCGGTAGTCCTCCTTCCCAACACCGAAACGGCTGATGTAGCCGTCACCGGCATGCGTGTGCGTTCCTTCTCGCACTGGGCGCCCGCTGTGATTGGACCGTACAGTCAAGCGGTTCGCGTCAGAGTCATCCACACGGAGGAGGATGATGACTGTTCCGACTATCCATGCACCCTCTGTAGTGCTTTCTACGCTGGTCAAATCGGCCTTATTCCGGAGACTGGGAGGCTACCGCAGATGTGTGATGTTAACCTGCAAACGGACGATGATGGTCAGGCAGCCTATGCACATCAGGGCTGGCTTTCTCTGCGCCATGTCCATCGTGTCCTTGAGGTAAGCGCTTACTGTTCTGTTCAGTCTTGGAACCATGTTGTCTCACCCCTCCCCCTCACCTCAATGTGTGCTATCGTACCATCAACTCATTAGACCGATCTAGCTTAATTATAATAACCGGCTTTGAATGCTCACTTTGACCTTAGTGCTCTTGTTGCAGGTGGTCGTGTTGACAAGAGAAAGTTCTCCAAATCACAAGTTAAGTAAGAACAAGTTGGTAGAAACAGCTTTACTGCAAAAAGATGAACTGTGCAAAGGCTGTGACACCAGCCAGCTGCCAGTTATTTCTGCACGCCAGTTGTGTCCTTGGTGTTGTAGCTTTGCCTGCGCGATGAGTACTCTGCTGTCTGCAACCAATCAAATGAAGCGGGAGTACCAATTGATTTAGAGCTAATGCGCTCATCAAGCAGCAAATTGATCGATAGCGTTAGAAAGGCCGATGGCGCGCGAAGTGGATGATAATGCGTGGGAGAAAGGCCTGGGAGAGTGAAGGTAGGATGAGTCAAGCGCAGTTGCGCTAGGCGGCAGACTCCTACCCTCTAACCTTCGCCATCGTATAGTAACGAACAATCGATAATAAGGCATTTTGTTTTATCGACGAAACTTTTTTTCCTTTGTTTGACTGATGTTTCCCTTGTATAGATGTATATTTGGGGGCCCAGGTCTAACTTTGTATATTACCGGCCTGAGGTTGAAGTCTGACTCGTTGTTGACCGCAAATAAAAAATAATTGTTATGAGCCGCGCCTGATACTTGTGAGTAACACGAACTGTGAGTTGTTCCAAAGCCAGCACGGTAGACGAAGAGCAGGCAATCGACCACGATGCAACCCGTATTAAAAGCAGCAAGCGCTTCTGACAAAAGAGCTCCGTCTATTGATTGGTCAGCTTGATATGGAAATGTCTGCAACAGTGGACCAATCGAATCTGACAAGAGATCGATAGCCGCGTTGCGCGCTCTCAGGGCTGTCACGTGGCGGCTGACGCTGACACCTTTCTGTGCCATGACTCATCCTGGGAATGGAGGCATTCCCAACACCTTCTC